AGAGCATGGGTCAGACTGAGGACAGGCTTCAGCAGTGTCACTGAGTGCAAGCCAAGCACCAAATCCTCAGTGCAAGCCAAGCACCAAATGGGGAGGGTGGGAACCAACCCCATCTGCCCTCCCATCCACCCACACATCTCTATCCAGAGGCTACCAAGGTACTGGAAAACTCTACTTTTTTGGCAGACAATATAGCAGTTAGCTGACAGGAAGACTGTATCTAATTCCTATATCAAAGAAAGAAAATTAAACATTAAACCCACTCAACTCTAACACTAACACTGATATCTTGTGGCAAGTCACTTAAGGGACACTGGTTAGTCTTAAAAATGTAATGTATATTCTTACTTTGTTACTAACTCCATGGAGAGAGAGAGAACCTAGGAGTCCTGACAGAATTTATGTCAGCTCTGGAAGAAGTGGGGTCCAGTGGGTTATGGCAAGGAGGCAGATACATTTCAGCTCTATATAAGAACATCAGAATGGCCATTCAGGGTCAGACCAAAGGCCCTTCTAGCCCAGTATCCTGTCTTCCAACAGTGGTCAATGCCAGGTCCTTCAGAAGGAATAAACAGAAGAGGCAATCATCATTATCCATCTCCTGACACCCATTCAAAATTTCTGGTAAACAGAAGCTAGGGACATTATCTCTGCCCATTCTGCCTAGTAGCCATTGATGAATCTATCCTCCTTAAACTTATTTTGTTTTTATTGGAACCCTGTTATAGTTTGGGCTTTTCCGCCATCCCCTGGCAAAGAGTTCTACAAGTTGATTGTGAAAAAAATATTTTGTTTATTTTAAATTTGCTACCTATAAATTTAATTGGGTCAGCTTCTTGTGTTACATTAGTGAAGGAATAAATAACATTTCCATATTCTATTTTTCCACACCATTCATGATTTTCTAGACATCTGTTCAAAGCTGAAAAGTCCCAGTCTTGTTAATCAATCCTCATAAGGAAGCTGTTCCTTACCCCTAATAATTTCTGTTACCCTTTCTGTACCTTTTCCAAATACAATATAGCTGTGTCTAGACTGGTGTGTTCTTGCGTGAAAACAGCTGCTCTTGCTCAAAAACATGTCGCCTGTCTACACTTGTGCAAGAGTTCTTGCACAAGTAAACTCACATTCTAATGTATAGAATCAGGGCTTCTTGTGCCAGAACTCTGATGCTCCCGCTCAGGAAAAAGCCCTCTTGCTCAAGAGCTCTTCCAGAAGACGCTCTCTTCTGGAAGGCTACATCTACACTGGCATGATTTTGCGCAAAGTTTTTCCATTAAAAGTATTTGCACAAGAGAGCGGCTATACTGGCATGTGCCTTTGCGCAAAAGTTTTGCTTTAACATGCCAGTATAGACGCACTTTTGTGCAAGAAAGCTCTGATGGCCATTTTAACTATAGGGCTTTCTTGCACAAGAAATTCATGTTGCCTGTCTACACTGGCCTCTTGTGCAAGAACAGTTGCGCAAGAGGGCTTATTCCTGAGTGAGAGCATCAGATTTCTTGCGCAAGAAGCATTGATTTCATACATTAGAACGTCAGTGTTCTTGCGCAAGAATTCACGGCCAGTGTAGACAGGCAGCAAGTTTTAGTGCAAAAGCGGCTGCTTTTGCGCAGGATCACACCAATGTAGACACAGTCTTCGAAGAGTTTCTGCAAACAAGAGAACATCTTTGGCAAAAGAGTTTTTGCGTGAGAACGCTCCAGTGTACACATAGCCTATATGTTTTTTTTAGATGGGTTGACCAGATCTGCATACAGTATTCAAGATGTGGGCATACAATGAATTTATGTAGAGTCAATATGGTATTTTCCCTTATCTATTCCTTTCCTAATGACTCCCAATATTCTGTTAACTTTTTAGTCTGCCACTGCACATTGAGCAGATGTTTTCTGGGAACTATCCACAAGGATTCCAAGGTTTCTTTCTTGAGTGGTAACAACTATTTTGTATCTATAGTTAGAATTATATTTTTCCATGTGCTTTACTTTGCATTTATCAACACTGAATTCCATCAGCCTTTGTGTTACCCAGTCACCCAAATTTGTGAAATCCCTTTGTAGTTCTCTAGTCAGCTTTGAATTAGTGGGCTGTGTCTAGACTGGCCAGTTTTTCCGGAAAATCAGCCTCTTTTCTGGGAAAACGTGCCAGCTGTCTACACTGGCCGCTTGAATTTCCGCAAGAACACTGATTTCCTACTGTAAGAAATCAGTGCTTTTTGCGGAAATACTATGCTGCTCCCGTTCGGGCAAAAGTCCCTTTTGCGCAAAACTTCTGTGCAAAAGGGCAAGTGTACACAGCTGAGATTTGTTTTTGCGCAAAAGTGCATCTAGATTGGCCACAGGTGCTTTTCCGCAAAAAGTGCTTTTGCGGAAAAGCGTCCATGCCAATCTAGACGCTCTTTTCCGAAAATGCTTTTAACAGAAAACTTTTCCATTAAAAGCATTTCCGCAAAATCATGCCAGTCTAGACATAGCCGTTCTGTTCACCCCTTTTTCAAGAACATTTGTAAGTTTAACACCATAATCCAAATGCAGATCCCTGCAGCACAATACTCATTTCTACTCTTTTCCCACCTATTTTTAAGTGGAGTACCAGCAATGTTTTCATGATGATCTAGCAATCCTTCATTTACTTGAATGCCCAGTCTTCTGTTCTTTTAAATCACTCTGCCTTCCTCTTTCTATAACAGACTCCCTGCCCCAAAGGCAAAGCTGCAAGCAGCTCAAACTCTGTTGCATTTAAGAACTGTCTCTGGAGTCAGGGCATGCAGCTTTAAGCAGACATCAAGTATGAGATCCAGGAGGCTCAAACTTGGGAGAGGGGGTTACTGCCCCTAACCCCGCATAAATGGTGACCTTGGCATGGAAGCTGAAGCCTCCCCCCCCCCCCATTTGTTGCTCACAACTAGGTTACTTCCTCCTCTGCCCTGTGGATTGTAGGAGGGAGAGGAACGCTTGGACAGTGCGTACTTTCCTGTGTCACTGCAAGAGAGTGAGAAGGGGAACAAGAAGCAAACAAATATCCTCAGTAGGAATGGGTGGGGGAGAGCTTCAGTACCTCCTACCCTCCCTAATGGTGCCCTGGGTGGGGATGAGGCTATCCCAGACTGGTGCAGGGCATGCCCTGGCCTGGCCAGCCCCTTTCCCTGTCTCCTACTTAGTGCAGGAGCCTGCACAAGAGCCCCAGCAGGCTAGGAGCCTGCCTTCCCTTCTCCTCAAGCTGAGCACCCCAGCTGGCTCTTATCCGAGCAGGGCACTCAGACACACTGGCTTACTTTCAACTTGGACTATAGCCCAACTTGCTGAATCTGCCTTTGCCCCACTGACACACCAGTGTCCTGCCAGCAAGGGAGACAAAATGAGGGAATTTCACCATGAAGCCTGACCGTGCTTCATTTGTGTATACACTCTCTACATACTATAGTGGAATGTTCTTTAGTTGCATGATATTTCCTTTTTATTCCCGCCCACTTCAGGAAGATGAACAGGGCAGTGTATATTTTAGGTTAGTGTTTTGGTTTTTTTCCCCCTTTACACATTTTCCTAAATTCATGAACTTTAAGGCCTTAAGGAACATTTTGACCATCTAGTCTGACCTCCTGCATAAAACAAAGAATTGTACCAAGTCAGTCCTGCATCAGAACCCTCTGTTGTAGTTGAGTAAGAGCATATTTCAAGAGAATATTATTTATTCTTCATTATAGAGCATGTCTGTGTAAGATAGGTATTTGGATGATTATTTTTTTTATTTAGAAACCTAGGAGAATGTCATTTTTTGTTCAGGATTATGTAGTTGCATATCTGTGTAAGTACACCTGCCATCCAATTTATCACTTGTTACATATGTTGAAATTGAAGTTTCTTACACTATTTAAAGAACATTACTGCATGGATGAGGAAGTTTTGAAGACATTATGGTAGGGGGCATCCTACTAAATATATATTCCACTTTTATGCATTTGCATAATTTCTTCAACATTTTAAAAAGGTAAC